AATATTTGTTGAATAACCATATAAAATCTTAATACCGTGGAGGGAGGGTGGGGTGGAAAGGGGGAACCTATTACAGGGATTTACATATAACCTCCCCTGGGGGATGGACAACAGAAAAGTGGGTGAAGGGAGACGTTGGACAGTGTAAGATATGACAAAGTAATAATTTATAAATTATCAAGCATTCATGAGGGAGGGGGGACTGGTGAGAGAGGGGGGAAATGAGCTGATGCCAAGGGCTTAAGTGGAGAGCAAATGTTTTGAGAATAATGAGGGCAGCGAATGTACAAATGTGCTTTACACAATTGATGTTATGTATGGATTATAAGAGTTGTATGAGCCCTCAATAAAATGATTAAAAAAATTCTTAATACCCTAACTTTCTTCAACATTCATTATGTGATTGTGGACTTTATTGTTATTAACTTTTTTAAATGATGGAATGTTTCATTCCTTTTTAATTTTTTCTCTTTTCTGATTAGTATTTTTATTGACATATCTTATTCATTCCAATAAGTTGATTGTGGACTTTAGAGCAGGGATTACATCTTGGCACTTCTAGATGGAAGCTTGTGACTGTCTATAGAGAGAACTTGCCTTACCTTCTTAGGGTGCTGTCAACATGTACGTTCTAAGAGCACATGAACTGGGTGGCGGTGGTGTAGAAGAAGGAATGAATTACATACAGGATTACCAGAAAACGCTCATTGAGAGGATGATCTGGTGGAACTGAAGCAGAGGCCTGTGAGGGTATCTGGAGGAAAGTGAAAGCGCCTGGTGTTAGGTGCGTCCTTGGTACATGAGAGGAGCTGCCAGGTGGCCATGGTGGCCAGAGAGACAAATGGAGAAGGGGGCTGTAGTCATGAGGTTTCTGTAGAGCTCTATGAGGAAGATGGTGGCTTATTAAGTAGATGAACTACATTTTATTTTGTAAATAAAATTTTTGTATTGTCACACTCTCATTTTCTGACCGACAGTAATACAGATAGCTAATGCCTGTACTGTTAGATGCTGTCAAGTTGATTCTGATTCATGACCCCCATGTATTGAAGAGTAGACGGACTACTTAAGGTTTTCATAGCTGTAAGTTATTTTGTTTAAGTAATTTCTTATTGTAAATTAGGTAATGGTTTACATTTCAGATCATTGACTTTGCATTCAGCTGCTAAACCACTACTAAAACCCTCCAGTAGTCCGTTTCCCACCAGTTTGCCTCCCCCTCCATGGAACACCATCCTCCATTTCACCCAGATCAATACCTGTCAACAGTTTAGCCCATTGCCCAATCCACCCCTCCACCCCCACCCACATCCCTTAGCCACCTCCAAATTGTGTTCCCTTTGGTCTGAGAGTCTTTATCTTTTTTTCTCCCTTTCACATATAACTAATCTTTTTGTGATTGGCTAATTTGACGCAGCCTAATTGTTTTTCAGATCCATCCATGTCAGGAAGTGCTTCTTGGTTTCATCAGTTTTTGTTTGTTTTTTTAGCATTGCATAGTATTCCATCTTGTGTATATACTGTATTTTATTTATCCATGCACTGATTGAATTAGGGCTGTTTCCATTTTCTTGCTCTTGTGAACAGTGCTGCAGTGACCATGGGCGTGCAGTTATTAGCAGTAATCTTATCAGAAGCTGATAGCTACGTCTTTTTCCTTCCTTCCGAGTTGCTGGGTGGATTCAAACCACCACCCTTTCAGTTAGTAGCAGAGTGCTTAAGCATTGGTTTTATTATTTCATTGGTACTTTATTCGTGCCTCAGATATATTAATCTTGGACTGTTTCCATCAAAGTATACCCAGTGAAGACATAACTTGTGTGTGTGGGGGCGGGTACCAGCCCCCGCAATGGAGCTGGTCCAAGGGCGGTTGTGTAATTGAGGGGTAAAAGTAAAGAGACATCAGACAAGATAAAGTATGCAAATACTCACCCCCGCCATGATCTCAGCAGCCAGGTCCATGCAGAGAGAGAGACTATTTATAACCAAGGCTTATATACACTTAGGGGGTGTGTAAGCCCTCCTAATTACAGGTAACCACATGCATAACAGGAAGGGGTTGTACAATAGGCATTTGTGCGACAGGAAGAGGACGAGCTAGGGTGTACACGCAGTAGGAAGGGAGGCACTAGGGCATGCATGTGACAAGATGGGCGGACCCTAGATTCAAAATGACAGCCTAACCTTGGTCCTCTCAGAGTTGCCTTGACAGACTGTCTTTGAGCTCTCCTTCAGCAGGGAGTGGGACAGATGAGAGGATCTGATTGCTCTCAGGGAGATAACCTTTAAGTAGCTGACCTCCCAAGTGTATAGTTATTAACCATGTGTTAGCAAGCAGCACCTTAGGTTTGGCATATGGGAGGTCAACCTGGGAATAACTTTTGTTTTCCACAATAACTATTCAAGATATACAATATCTTGTGATCCTTTTTCAGAGATCACTTTTTAAAGCACGATTGAAATCAGCAGTGAAGTTGATTCCCTTGTGTTTGGGCTCAACCCCAAAGAGGGAGAGACAGAAAAACTGACCATGAGCCAGTCTGAGAGGCATCAGTTTATTTGTATGGCTTATGGACCATAACAGTAGTACTGTACCCAGTGGCCATTGGCTGGACAGGAAAAGATATGCCAAAGGAGTCTTGTGGAGGGTCCTTTTATAGTTTGAATGAGGTGGG